TGTCAAATTCAGTCCATGAAAGTCCATCTGAAAGTTAGGCTTTTATGGTTATTTATGGTCGCCTGATATCTCTGTAAGCTCTCACGAGGTGTTAAGTCAGACTTTATTGCTTACGTATTAATGGTTATTATAATACTGACAAAACGTGGGGAGTGGTATAAAGGAGGAGGCGCTGTTAACTAAGCGCAGTCGGGGATGAATTCCATTAAATCTACTCGAATGCGTATCTCCCCGGTGTTATTCCGTGTTGATGGCACGTACCAGACTTGACTGGAGTATAAGAACACTGACTTGTAAGCGGCTGACTTAGCAAGCCATTTGCACGCAAGTCGCATTCAAAATACCTGCTAGAATTCTGAATGGAAACACATACGGGCACATCCCAACACAAAGAAATAATGAACCCTCGATTTATTTTTCTCAAAGCTGAGCTTTTAAAAGACACAGTTTCGAAAACCGAACTTTAGGACCTTCGCATTCCAAACACCCCGTTGTCACGATTTTTTACAGTGGTAACTGGACTGCTACGGGTGAAGTCAACAACGATGGCACGAAGTTTTCACCGTGTACATGGGTGAATGTAGTGTGTTGTAGGGCGAGACCGGAACTGGTCTAGAGAGATAAAGAAACAAGCACGAATTGATCTTTGTACGATAACACCTATAAAGAATCGTTTAGCAGTGTCCGGACAGTTTTCGTGGCAACATTTGAACTATTACGCTTTACCTCCTATAAACAGGTACACAACTACTAAACTAACCATTAATTCCTTGATTCTCGATTTCGATCTCCACCAGAATTCTGCAGCCCGCACCTCCTGATGAAAGCATCAACAGGATAGTACTCTCGACAGAAAAGAAGGTCGCCGTGCGCTGAGTAGCCGGCATCATCAGCTCTCGACCCGGTTGCAAATACCAAATATGGGTAGGTAGGGCTACCCAGCAGATTGAGCTCGTTCTTATCTTTTTCTCTTCCTCGCCCGCAGTTATACCTACCAGTTAGAGGTAGGTAAGGTTACCCCTGAGTTCCACTAGGTAGGTAAAGTTGCCCCTGCTTTCCATTCTCTTTTCCCACGATTCCTTGTCTTCCCCTTCTCCCCTCTTCTCCACCCCCTCCCCACGTACTCCGTGATGCGGCTGATAATTCCCTGTTCGAAGCTGTATCACCCTCTTCAAATGAGCCTTTCTTCTGCCTTTCTGGAACGAAGTCTACTCACTAACCACTTTTCCTGGCCGACTTTCCAGAAGTTCCAGTTTCGTTAGTTTAAAGAGCGAGATGAGGAAAGTTGCTTGACGGGTTTCGAACGAACTCAAGAGGGAATACAAAGAGCGAAGGTTATGACTGCTCGTTCCACCGTGTCGTAGTGTCGGGCGCAAATCATCCTCTCGTTGTTCTCGCGGTGCAGACGAACAGTGGGCCCCGCCTTTCGGGCACATACCGTCTATATAAGCACAGTCATCACTTCACACTACTATAACACTTATTCTGCACTCGTTTCTCTTACAAAAGTCTTTCCTTGTGCACGTTCTGGTGAGGTCAGCTTAGAGTTGCTCAGATGTGGAAATCTCGTTTTTTTTTTAGCAAAGTCGATAAGATGTTATTTTGCGGGCTATCCTAGCCCGGACCACGTATTTGACCCTTCGGGTGATTTTTCACTCCATGTCAAGTGATCTCTGAGGTTTCAGGTATGAAAACGGTCCTTCTCGCCTTCACATCTCTCTGTGTCAGCGCTCACGCCGCAAAGACACCATGTGGATCTCTTACTACCTGTGCTGTTCAGAAATGTGTGGACAGAGGTAACTAAGCGTTTCCAGGCCATTGCTTGCTCACATTTTATATTTCCTGCCCATATTTTTATACCCTGTTTTTATTTTTATTTATTTCCTTATTCTTTATTCATTTAGCTATCCACATATTTTGACTGAAAAGTTACCTACCCATGCCATGACATTATTAGGTTCTTACAAGCAATGTCACTACCATTCCTAAGGGAAGTCAAATGCATGGCGCACCTCAAAGGAATTGTCAACGTCGAACGCTTTATCCTTGGACAATATTTTTTCTAACCTTATTTGTTTCTAGTTTTAAAGTTCACAGTGCGGCTCGGTTTGTTTTATAGGCTCCTAGCTCCGTGCCTAATTCACCTTCTTGCTATAGCTGGTGCCTTCCAAAGAGCTTAACAGCGATCGGAACAAGGCTAGGGCGAAGGGGAAGAGGAGCACGAGTAATGAAGGAAGGCATTGACTTGCCTGTCCCATTGAATTTACGTCTAAAACAAAGGCACCTAATAATACTCCTCGAGCTCAACTTGCTATGGATCAAAACAGAAAAAAAAATCATAAACAAGATAGTAAACACGTCCTTCGCATCCTTTCTTCAGCACGAACCATTTATTAATTGTCGTTAATTTCCCGGAGCTCATCATATGTTGGGATTGAGAACCTAGTGATGCTACCCTTCACAATAGCTCTTTTGTGTAGAAAACCCTAAACTACGCTGGCGTAAACAATATCCCAATCCCAAGAACTCATTGAAAATTTTGTGTTTGCGAACCCCGAACTCGAAATCTCTCATCGCTGTAATGAGATTATTCGCGATTTCAAACGCACAGTTTTCAAGGACATCTTCAATGTGTAGGAACGCTCAACGCAGATCATTGAACGAGAAGCTGTAGGAGAGGCGATGACTTCTCACAATCAAGCTAACTGTACTATTGCTTGCAAATTTATTCTAATTTTATGGCAAATGCATTTTATTTGAATTTGCTTCCTTTTTGGAAAAGCTCGGAAACATCGATTGGCCCCATTGAGCGCAGTTTAGGCTTTCTTTTCAAGTTTGTTGAGGAGCTTCTGAAAACTTATTACTAGGCATAGGGTCAGTCCTTTAGGGTTTTGCCAACGGTAGTGGGAGGGGAGGGGACGTATTCGTGATATTGGAAGCAGATTAAACGAGAAGTCAATTAGTCAGGTAAATTTGAGAGTTTTATTCTAGAGTACGCTAACGAGATTGAATTTGCCGTGCTAAAAACGTAGCGCCAGTTCTCCTTCCACTGTTCCGCTAGATTGCTTTCGGAATTTTCAAGTGGCCGAATGATCAGTTGCGATCGAGCTAATAAGTCGATGCTGTATGAGACCGTGATTGGGACTTCCTTCAGAAGGACGGGAGAGGATCACTCCACTTGTCAAAAGATCTCAACTGTGACTTGATCTCCTGATGAGTGATAACTCCAACTTTCCCTTTCTGCTGCACCAAGATAGTTCTTGTGCTCTGGTTAGCCGAGAAGCGGCTGATATTTTCTCATGTCTGGGCAAATTACGACTCGGCGATCGAACCGCAGCTAGAATCGTACAGCAGTGTACCCGCGCTATGTCTACAGACTAATCGGGCCCTACGGCTCTTGTTTTTGGATTCAATAGTGGACACTGTAGATGGTAGGCCCTGCAACTCGCGGAGATCAACGCCTGCTTCACTTTCTTAGTTATAGCGACAGAAAAACTGAACTATCGAAAAATGAATAAACAGATTACAAATAAACAAATGCAAATCAGGAATAAAGCAAAATTAACCACTGAAAGTGTCATAATAATCAAAAAGCAAGGTACAAATAAAAAATAACTTTAAATCGAAGCAACTTTAAAGTGTAAGAATTTAAACTTTATTATTTAGGCAACTTGCTCAAATATTACCAACATGATCAGAACCTGCCTGCTAATAGGATTCGAAAAGCTCAAAACCTGATAAATAGAAGAAACCATGTAAAGGCAGAGTGAATGATCAGCCAGAGGAACGGTTACTGTCTGCCTCTTGAGTCCTGCTTAGCTCGCAAAAATCCTTTCCCTGAGCTTTCTCTTCTTTTTTCTAATCTTCTTCTTTTTTCCCTGAGAACAGGGAATTCCTGAAATGATCATGTCGATTTAGTACCAGTCCCTCTGCTACCGGTATGCTTCGACCTCCATACCGGTTTTCAACCCGAGGCACGCGACTCGCGTGCGCCTGCTTAACTCCATGACACAAAGCGTCACCCTCTAAGAATAGTTTTCGCTGAATGATCAGGTTGTGTTACAGCGTAGGCTCAGCTCGTTGTGAACAACAAAAACCGGTTCGTCGTTAGCCGAATTATCGAAAATCAAGTTGGAACAGAAGAAGCGCACGCTTTTTGTCTACACGAATTCCAATCAGTGGATCGGCGCGTCTGTTAGGGTGTCGCGAATTAAAACAAAGACTTCCAGGGCACTGAGGTTCTTCCGGTATTCCTTCTTAGATAGTGGGGGGGGGGTCATTTAATTCATTATATTTTAGTGCTAGAGAAAAGAAAAGATCACAATATTTTTCTACATTGATGCCTTAGGAAACGGAATAGAGGAGTACACTCCGCACTCCAGTGATGAGTCATAATCTCGCTAAGCCACCGCCTGCCCCGTGAATTCGAGGACTCTCTCAGTACTGGGAGGCGAACCTAACCCAAATGTTTAGAAGAATTGTCAGTAAGCTCTCATTCGGCAATACTGCGCCAAGCCAATCCTTCTACTCAAACTGAGACAATTCGTCAACGCAATATAGTCCCTCATAAATGTTAAACTCCGCCGATTCTACCTGCCCTTCCAAGTGTGATCAAAGCTGCAGCGGCTCACATTCGACCTCTGTGACCCGATCTCCGTGACTAGGCTTTTTGATTGGTCACTAAAATTCAAAGATATGGATCAAAGACAAATAAGAGCCAAGAGGTTCGACACTCGATCAGGGCACTTTGAGATGCGTCCATGCACTCTATTCCATGCCCAAATCGTAGTTTAATGCTAAAACTGTGCCCTTGAAGGCTTGAGCGCCGTAACGCAGCCATTCAATGCGTCTAGTATGCTCTCATAGTGCTTTCATTACACATTCTGCGCTCGCTAGTTTGACGCAAGGATGAAAGGCTCAGGTGTCTGGCCGCTCAATCCGAGCCTAGTGCATAGGCGACCGATAACTATGCACGTCCAGCCGCATCCCCACTCTGTAGCATGGAGGAGCGTTCTGGTCCTTATGTGAGGTGTCCGTGTACCGGCTCCGTGCCAAACCACCACCGAGCAAACTAACCAGCCGAACAGCCCCACGCGACAAACGAATAAATCGTAGATCATCCTGCTCGGTCCCCCCAAGTTCGAATCGTTCTTGCTGTATTACTTAGAAGGGTTCTTCAAGACTAAACTCCTTAGACGCAGTTCTGCCTACAGCCAAATAGGTCAACTCGATGTACTTCGGTTGATTTTATAATCGAATTCCCAAACTAACGGGGGTGCGTAAACCTACCTATATACCATCCGCCTTGTGTAAAGTCCCTGCCTTTTCGCGCCCTACGTTGCGCTGGCCAATATTCCTATTTCCTAAGACGATTATTTAGTGGATTAAGATGATAGTCAAAGCTCCTCGTATTGCCCTGCAGAAAGTTCAAAAAATAGAGAATTCCAGATGCGGTGCACAAGGTAGTGACGACGTCGCCGAGGACTGAACTGTTTGGTGCCCGTTTTCGAAATGAGCTCAACCGACACTTTATCCTCATATCAAATTTCCATGAACTCCTCCGTTCCAAGATCGAACATGGTTCATGCTCGAAGTGTCCCACAAAATGTCAGGCTTGCAGTCAGTGCAACTTACGTCAGCAAGTAACAAATGAGCTCTTGCCCCAGCGGAACCCGACCTGTGAGTGTTTTCTAGGCACTACCGTCTCTACCGTTTGGAAACTCCAAGTTAACCTCTTGTTTCAGCTGGACTTTGCCCAAAGCTGGAGACCTGCGTGCAGAATTGTTTGGAAGCTGGCGACTTACCAAAGGTCAGTTTTATGGAATACATTCAGCACTGTCATTTCCTTTCCTTACACTATTAACTTTCTTCATCCTCGTTTCTTGTTCAACAATTTTCATATTCTTTATTCTAATATTACCTGACGCTCTATATCTTTTTCTCATTTTTTATCGCTGGCCTTTTTATGGTCATTGCGGCAATTTCCAAATTCACAACAATGGCTACAAAAAGTTAGCAAAAAAAACGCCATACATTTTTGCTGTTTTCATTTCGAATGGTAACTTAGGTGGGGGTGTGGTCAACGTTGTGTATGTGTTACTGACCGTGCTCGCCACGTTCGCAGCGTATCCGAGGTCCTTGCGGTGCGTCTATTTGGACCAACCAATTGAATTACTATCCCTTCGGGCGGGTCAGTTAATAGGAACCAGACTTTCTCCGAATATAAAGAAGCACTAAACTTGCTACACTTGGCCTAGCCCCGCAGTAATTTGTGGCGCCAAATCGTTATTCACACCACCTACGAAATGTAGAAATGTAGAAAGCTTCCGCATCCCAAAAAGGGATTGATCAACAGCGGCTGCTTAATTCTTCCCCAACGTTAATAGAACCAAATGGGTCCCCCACAAGTTTCTTATAGTAGTAAACATAACTCCTGCACACACTCAACTCCGCCAATGGCTATCTCCGCCGTCGTTAAGAGAGAGGTGTGATTGGCATCTTGGTTCGTGGGCTTGTTGTTGTGGGTTTTTGTTTGGTTCGATAAATGCGGGAGAGATACGGTTCCAGTTTCTCCTAGGGTCAGGTCACCACAGTTGCGCGATCATTGAAGCTTAAGGTTAAGTTTGGGTTTAGACTTAGGTTAAGGCTTATGCTTACACATTGGCTTATGCCTAAGCCTATGATTGGGCCTAGGCTTAGTCCTAAGCTTGCTCCGAGCGAATGAACGTCTGTTCCGAAGGTGACCTGACCTGAGGAAGGAGAACTGCAATGCACCCGGGCACCACTGCTGAAACCCGCATAATTTTGGAAACCAACTTGCGACGAAGTGGTTCCATTTCTTGGGATCTGAGCCATTTTTTGGTTTTTTCTTCCTTCTTGTGTCACTGACTATCTCTTCTCGATTTTGAATGGGCTGCCTTTTCATCGTAAACTTCGCCTATATTGGACAAGCTTTAGAAACTACCTTTTACTTTTACCGATGTTTCTACCTTTAGAACCTATCTCTTAACCCTAACTAATCACCTTTGCGATAAAAATTGACCTAACGAAGTGAATATGAAAAAATATTTCCTTTCACTGCAGATTCTTAAATGCGTGGCTGATCGATGCAATGTGCACTGTTACGATGGGGATTGCCCGTCGTGCAGAGGCATGGCCAAGCGAATGTTCACAATCATTTGCCAACAAACCGACATGGTCAACCTCGACCATATTCAGTACACAGGTAAGCCCCTACCGTACCCTCTTCTGAAAATAGTCGACAATACAAATATTGCTCTCTCAGGAACTTGTCCACGACTCTTCAACGACATGGCTGACGAGTATGTTGCGGCACGAAGACGAGCGGCCGCTTGACCCATTTCATTTTGCATAGATCTCATAGTTGTTGTACAAAATTGTTACAGATGTCTATACATTAGGATTTTTGTGTCTTTAAGTGTTTCAACTGCCAAAAATCTAGTACAAATACAACGGGAACGAAACTTTGCATTCGATAAAGTGCTTCTTCATCATTTTTTGCTTGCTTCTCTCCCAGAATATTAAATAGACAGCGAAATCCACCTAGAGAATTTCGTGGTGAATAGTTCTGTTAGGAAAACTAAAATTGATTCGGTCTAAAGTTTGAAACCAGCAGAACCTGTGAGGTGGGACAGAGTACGAAATAGTTTGGCTTTTGTTTCGTGAAATTCATAATAAGAAAGGTATCGTCCCCGTGCACTCATCGGTAAGGAAGTACAGGAAGAAGCGTAAAATAAAAGCTTGGATGTATGAACAGTATAGAAGAATTGGGCGGAAGTGGTGTAGTGGCAAGTGGCACGCTTACCACGCGAGCGGTCCGGGGATCAAATCCTGGGTCGTGAGTCGCCCGGGCCAACCAAGCCTTCCATCCCTCCGGGGTCGGTTAATTGGTACCAGACTTGTCTGGGAGGATAAAAACACTGACTTGTACATCGGCTGGCCCCCGCAAGTCATTGTATAGGCCACATCGCATTCAAACGCCACTACGAATGTACAAATGGAAGCGTGCCGCATCCCAAAAAGGGATTGATCAACGGCAAATGCTTTATCCTTTATCTTTTATACATCTCACATAGAATGGCCATGGCGACCTGAGAGGCTTCCCTTGTTAGTCATAAGCTTTTCACATCCTGCTATTAGGTTGTTCAGAAAACCTTATTGTGTATTCGTTTTTCTGACTGACTGCTGAGACCAGCGCGGAGTTAGTTGCCAGTTTGGATAGAAGTTCCGTTGGCTGGATTTCCCAATTAGCAAATTTTGAATTCAAAAAACTTTGTATAGCAGACACCTCTTCCGAATGATATACAGGGTGGCAAAAAAAAGAGACTTTGCCTATGGCGCACATCATCGAACTTTTTGTCGCACAGGGCGCCGATGTTAATGAGAGTTTTATGGCGGAATATTCCTAAGATGTTCCCACGTAAGCAGAAGTAGGCCCTTTTTCACTGCCTCCACCGTCTTCAAAATATGACGTCATCTGTCGTCACCGTCGAGCTCAACGAGGCTTGCTGTAATCGCTCCGGCCTGAAGCTGCTACATGATTTCTTCAATTGATTAGATGGTGAATAACTTCTAGGAGACACTAGCTGTTACTGTGCAAGACCGCTTTTAACCAGCGTTTCGGGGAGGTCGTAATGGCCTATGGTACATCGACGACCTCGTTGAGCTCGTACCGTGAACCATGTTTCCGTGGGAAAATCTTCTGATGTAGTCGGTGCAGAAGGCTGTCACATTTAGATAGATTAGAGTGTGTGCTCTTTAATACTAAGTTGGGTTCAGTCGATTTGATTCTAGCAAAGTGTGATTAATGCTGGCTGAACTTTGAAGTGAAGTGTCTCTTTTTTTGGCCACCCCTGTATGTATAAATTATGCGAAAACATGGAAAATCAGAGAAGAACTTCCATCTGAAGAAGAACTACATTACTTATCAGACAAACTAATAGAGTAGAACCGTCAGCGACACTGCACCCTCCCACCACTTCACCTATACCCATGATAGAATAGCTAAAAATCTTTGAGATAATTCCTTCGTCACAAGTCTTTCAACACTTTCTATCCAGCGTCATAGTGTGAGGACAAAGCCACGCGACCTGTGAATCGGTTCCGCAACCACTCTTTGTTGTTTGACCAGATCCATTAGTCATGCTATATAACAGTCATATAAGAACAGGAATGGGACCAGTGCAAGCAGGGTACTGCATATTGGTTTATACCTCGTATGCTACTGTACTGGATAAATCGTTGAAGCGATGCGCCGGTCTGTAAAGTTTGTGAGCTGGCACTTTGTCTTCTCGTCTCCAGATCAGCAAATGCCAATATGGGTATGCATAAAAATGGAGCAACCACGAAGCTATGGGAGCTCCAATAAAACTAAGAAACGTTGTAGTGCTGCAGTATTAATATAATGAATTTATAGTAATCGTGATGACATACCACAGGAAGGGAGACCAAGAAAAACAGCCACTCTATCTTCATATAAAGATCAGAATAAATACACTTTGCTGACAAATCAAATTATTCCAATCGAGAATTGAATAGCACGATCCATATCAGCCTCATACCCGACGACGTCAGAAGATTTTTGCAAAGGAACATGGAGCACGGATGAACACAACGAAGTCACGGACGGATCATCGGCCATTACGACATTATCTGAAATGCTGATCGGGAAAGGGTCTTGCAAAGTGGAGTGTCGGTAGGACCTTTTGGAGCTCGGCTGTGATGACAGATAACGTCATTTCTGAGGAAGGTGAAAGCAGTGAAGGAGGGCCTGCTTCTGCCTATGAGGGACATTTGGCTCATTCCAACCCAGTCTTCCATTCCTACAAGGTTTAATGATTGCTAATGTGTGCTTTATGATTCTGCCACTAGTATTGGAGGTGGAAATTTTTATCACGGGAACTTGGACCTTCTTTTGACCTGACCTAAAGTCGCAACGTTGGCCATAATAACGTTTCCACCTACAATCACAAAGCACACATCAACAACGAACCATGCTGAGGTTTCGAGATGAGAGAGCGCATCAGGCTTGAGTCGTAGTATAACGCACCAATTTGTAGATCAGTGAGATGTTGTAGAGCCAAATCATATTCGAATGACACTACTACTCCGAACGCAGAATACGTGGCGCATCCCAAAAGGTCCCATCAACGCCGAATGATCCCCAATTTATAAAACACCAATTCGAAAACCTGACGGCTGTCTTCGTTCGGTCTGCTAAAAAATAAAGGAAGGGTATCGCTCGAAGGCAACTTGAACGATGTGTTCAACAATGATAGCGTTTCAAATTTGGAACCTTAACTGCTCAAGATTTTTTATAATCACGACAAGGTTAAGATGGGGTGGAGCAGTGGTGAAGGGCGCCGTTGCCATATGCGTGCAAAATGAGATCAGTCCATGCACGTCTCATGTTTTACAGAGCCAGCTGACTGGCATTGGATTTATTTGAAGGAGTAGAGATGTAATCATGAAATGTCCGTCGGCTATGCACGAGTTTTGTGCAAAATGTCCACCGTACGACAGCTGGAGATACACGTGGCCATATCTGGCTTCTTATTTAGAGCTTCATCGTTTATTCGAAGAAACTGGTAGTTCACGTCGAATACAATTCATTTCACAACAAGAATCAAAAAATTTGAGATATGATCTTTTTGTATCATTTTCTATTTTATTTTTGTATTATTCTCTATTATACTTTTGTATTATTTTCTATCTTGATTTTACTGGAGGGCATTGAGGGCTGTTGATCCCAGACGCTGATGGAGTTCAGGTAAGTGACCCATTCCTGGAGTTTCCACTCTTTGCTTCATTAGGTCGGGCGACAATTGGTTCAATACGCATCCATGGCGAGCGGATAGGTAACATTTTGAATGCTTGTATGACGCTTTCAGGCTTTTGATAACGACGAGCTAGTCGAAACGTCAAGCCCAATAAAGATTCCATCGTACAAAACCTGTGTGGCACAAAAAGATTAAACAACTGTTTAAGATCAAATGCCCAGGTTTCAAGAAAGGCGGACTTGGAAAAGATGTTTTTCCTTTTAGATTTCTAAATTTCTCACGAGTTCAGACATATGGCTTCTTTATTGGCAAGCCAACAGAAGAAACATGGACAAAAACGGGTGTGTAGAACCTTTCTTGTATTTTTTGACTCTATTCAGTAACGTAGACTGTGAACGGAGCTTGTTGAATTTGAATTACGGCACTTCCCCAATTGAGCCCAATTGTAGACATGCAAACCGGCTGGAATCATTGCGATAACTCTGCGTTGCAATCAGCGAATTGAGCTGGTAACGCACGATGTCGCCTTAACGCCATCGCATCGACGATTACCAAACTCTACTCGGCACTGTTGAAAGTGCGACTTCCTTTAACCGTGGTCCTGCAACTTTTGAACGCCGGTTCAGCCGCTGGTACACTCGTTCGATTGCCCTGCACATACTTTGATTGACTGGTACACGCTCGATCGCCGGTGCAAACGTCTCTCTTTTGCTAAAATCGTGACTTTTACGAAGTTTCCAACAGCCCTTAAAGGCACAACCCAGGCAGAGGTTTTTTATAACTCTTCTCTTCGGTCAGAAGTATAGAACCCTAGGGGACAATCACAAATGTGGCGTTCACGTGCACGGAATTCGACCGACAAGAACGCTTTGGGCTTGCAAAGTAAGCTGCTCGAGCTGCAGCGAACGAGCTCTCTTATCAGGCCGTTGTCTGGTGCTCTCTCATCTGATGCGCTCTCTCGCCCCATACTCTCCTCTTCGCGCTTAGTCTCTCGTTCCTTTAGCACAGCCAATTAGGAAGGTGAGTGAGCCCTCAACCTGAGCGTTTTCGACGGATTCTTTTCCTTTTTTCTTCACTGCCGGCCCACTTGGCACCGATACATTCACATTCGTGTGCAAGAGCCAACACCAGTGTAGCCTTGGGGCGCGTTTAAAGGACGAATTCACGATCAGAGGGAAAATCGAATTAGGAAGAATTCACCTGGTTGAGGGACCCGCGGAGCTCCTAAGTGTGCGAACTGAAGCACAATTTGCACAGGAGGAGTTGACCTCGTTGACCTATTAAGGTTTAATCCCGCCGCGGCTGGTCAGTGCACGCCCACCGATCATCTGATCACTCGCCGCAGGTCTATACGTGGTGAGTGATTAGATAGGTGAGAGAGCGTAGCGTTGAAGAGGGCACAGCGATGATAGTATCAATGCTCAAATCAACGGGCAATGAAGGGGTCCATTTCTCGGGTTCTGGGCCGTTTCTCATGGTTCTTCCTTCTTTGGTGTACCACTCACCATCGCTAAGGTAATTTGAAATGGTTTGCCTTTCCAGCGTGAATTCGTCCTT